AGCGGAGTCTGTAGGAGCAGCGAAGGCCAGGATGAGAAGGGCAAGGATGACCTGAGAGTCCCTCGCCCACCAGCATGCACAGTCAGCACTGTCCTAGGGGAAAGGACAGAGCTGTGAGAGAGAACACCCACCCACCCAGGAGCAGTCCCTCCACCAGCCCCCAGTTCTCCTCTCTGCAGGCCTGCACACCTGCCTCCCCCACTACGCATCAGGCCCTGCCCCCAGTGCAGTAAGTTGGGAGGTGGAGTCCTCCCCTGCCAAGCCTGTGGGGAGGACTCCCACATACCAACCACAGATACTCTGCCACTCCTGGCTGCCAGACTCTGATACCACAGGCAGGACCTTGCACCTCAGGGTGGGACAGGGCAGGTCACACACCCACATGAACGACAGCCTTCTCTGGAGGCCAGTTCATGGCACAAGCTGGGCCGACTGCTCTGAGTCCCCCACATCAGACCATACACTCACCCTTGGGGGACTGGGCACTGCCCCCCAGGATGTGGCAGGAAGACCTGTGAAATGGCAGCTCTCCAGCCAGCCTCCACGCCTGTCTTCACTGAGGCTTCTGAGGAGTCTAGGCCAAGGATGAGCACACCACAGATTTGACAGACCTCAGTACACAAACAGCAGGAAGTCAGACGCACACATGGGAGGAAGACCATGTGTGGGCAAGGAGTGGGACACCATTATTCAGGGAACTCTACCTTGGCACTCCAGATGGCTGTCGTCTCCCCTGTCCAGACATAGCCAGCCAGCCAGATGTCCAGCATGGAGACCCACACAGAGGAAAGTTCTTCAAGCAGACAGGGGAGTGTGCTCTACTCCTCGCCCCTGGAATAAATCTCAACAGCTCACAGAACCAGTACAAATTTTGGCCTTTATCTCCCTCAACCATGGCCTTAGTTAACTTGTTCCTCAAGAGACCACAGAACCCAAGAAGAACTTTGGCCTCTCAGGAAATGGTTTTATTCTTCCCCCTAAAAACAAACTACCTATATCCTCATGAAAGCTTTAAAATTACCCAAATGAATGTCACCCCACAGCTGTGATGTCTGGGCTATAGTTTTGCTTTACAATTTTGGTAGAGTTTGCTCCATTGTCTGAGAAGAGGCTGTAAGCCACAGGGTCTTCAAAAAGTCCATGGAGGGAACCAGCAGTTAGCATAATGGCTATGTCACTGGACTCCCATGTAGTCGACCACGGTTCGTGTCCCGGACCCGGTGGCTTGGAACTCACGCTGGGCGCGTGTGCGTGCATGCCCAAGATCCCGAGAGGAGAATGGAGGAGAAGGGATTGCGGCGTGACCATCCCCCCTGGGGGGTGAT